AGGGGCTTTATTGTTTTATTTTTGGCAGAGAAGTCAAAGCAGGAACCAAGGCCCGCCCTCTTGGCTCTGATGTTTGCAGAGCTGGGGTCTGTGGCCGCACACGCGGGGTCCCTGGCTCCCCTCCAGGGTGCCCTCTCAAAGCAGCCCCTCCGCCCAGCGAGGTGGCACCAGAGAGCCCTCATGCTCTCCCGCACAGGGGACCAGCCAGTCCCACTCACACGCTTTTGGCTGGAAGTCTCTCCAAGAGACTCTCCAGGATACTTCCACTCTTTCCTGCTTCTATCCAAGTCGGAAATGCCACCAGCACAGTCTCTCTGTGCTTCTTCCTGAGCCAGCCAGGGCCAGCCGTGTCCTGCAGGAAAGGCCTGAGTCCCCACAGGCCAGTCCCCTCCTGACCACATATGTCCCCACCCCCCAGGTGAAGCATAGGCCTCTTTCATGCCCCAAGGGCCACCTGGAGTTCACAGTCATTGGGCTTCCTGTAGCATGTGGCCTCGGCTTCTCCCAGATGACAAGCTACTCCCTTCCCAAGATTCTCAGTCTCTTCAGAGGGGACAGGAACACCCCCTCCTTGACCACAGGCCTCCTACACCCGCCTGGGCAAAGAGGGGGCAGTTGCCAGCTGCTTACCCTGCACTCAGCTCCTGTGCTGTCCCATCCTGGGCTGTGACACTCAGCGGCACCTTGTTTTTCTCAGCAGCAGGTGCTTGGACACCAGAGAGGTGGCCCCTGCTGGAAAGGACAGCAATACCAGCACTAACCCCAGGGCCTGGGCCTGGGGGCCCGCAGGGAGGGCTGGGGAGGCTGCGTGGGGGCAGAGCAGAAGGCCCTATCCACAGCACCACACATTTCCCCTTTCTGCTCCTGGGTCTCCTTGCATCTCTGCAAGCGTCCCACTGGGCTGGGCTAGGCTGACTTCAGGCCCACATGGCCCCTGATGTGGGGCAGCACCCGGGCCCTGGGTCCCAGCAACAGCCAGGCCACAGCCCAGTCTCTGAGAAGAGCATGCTGGTGGGCCCCTATGTAGGTGAAGGGTGGGATTAAGCACACCTCTCATGTGGGGTATGCACCCGTTCACAGGATGCGTCCGGCAGGGGATCTGGCCTCACCCTTTCTCCTTGTTTCCATCTCTGTGCGGTGTGTTTTACTAAGTACTATTGAAAGTAGAAAAATAATAATAAAAAAATTGATATTTTGCAGGAAGTAGCTTTTGCCAGGCAGCTCGCTTCCCTGGGCCCACCTCACCCAGCCCTTGCCCACTCCCCACCCACACAGGATGCTCAGAGTTCCCATCTGGAAAGAGGACATCCAAAGAGGATCCTGTCCAGGTGACAGGCCTGCCAGCAGCCTGCTTGCCCAGTGCCTGGCCCCGCTGCCTGCTCCGCTGTGGTCCTGGCCCTGCCCTGCTCTGGCAGGGGAACAGGGCCGGCTTGTTCTGCCTCCTTCCTGGACCCCCGGGCTCTGGGCCCACACCCCGTGGGGAGGCACACAGGAGAGGAATGAGGCCAAGTGCTGGTGGGCAGGCTGGAGCGGCCCTGCACACACTACACACACCTGAGAGTTGGACTTGCACTTCAAAGGCAGGAAGGAAACCTGGTCCGTCTGTGGGAGCGGGGCCAGGAGCGGGGGAGGCAGGAGGGGCAGTGCGGCAGGTCCCACCCCAGCAGGTGGCCCGTGGCGCCTGTGGCAGCAGCCCAGTCCCAGGACCCGCCTGGGAATAGCAGGCCAGTGTCTGTGGGAGACAAGCCCAGTGTGTGTTGGTGGCTTTGCCTCAATAGCACACAGTCCTTCCCTCCTGCCCAGCTGCCATTTCTGGCATGAGGAGTCCCAGAGGCCGGGGCAACCTAGGATGCACCTCCAGCTGCTCAGTCCGCGTCAGCCCCATCAGAGGGACCCAGACTGTTTCACCAGCAGCTGCAGTCTGTTCCTTCATCAGTGGCCTCCAAGTGGGCGTCTTTGGTGAGGCATGCCGTGCCCTTCCGTGGCAGGCCTGCCAGCAGACAGGTCCGCCAGGCTTTTGCCGTAGAGGGCCAGGCAGTGGACATCTTCGGCCTGTAGCCATACGGGTTCTGACTGGCTACTCTGCTCTGAGCCCCACAGGTAGGGAGTGGGCGTGGCTGTGCCAGTAAGCCTGGATTTGCAAAACCAGGGGTCCTCATAGGACAGCCACGGTATGGCCTGTGAGCTAGGAATGTTGTTTATATTTTTAAAGGGCTGTAAAAACAAAAACAAAAAGAAGGGAGAGGAATGCACAATAGAGACTGTATGTGGTCCACAGGCCAAAGAGGGTCATTGGCCCTCAGAGAACAGCCTGCTTGCCTGCTGAGGCCATTTGCAACAACCCAAGGTCAGTAAAAATCTGGCTTGTCTGGTCCGAAAGAGCCCCCTACATGGCCAGGGTGACCGCTTCCGATTCTGCCCACAGCACTGACTGGCCTTCCCGAGAGCTCCCCGTGTTGGGGCTGCACTGGGAGGCTGCCGCCACCGAGGGGACCCGCTGTGACCGGAGGGCCCAGGAAAACAGCGGCTTCACTGGCCGCTGGAGTGGGAGAAAAGGCTTCCCAAGGGTAGCTCCACTGTTTCACAAAAACCAAGGTGACTCTTGCCACTGAGCCATTTCCATTAGGCCTCCCACCCTGGGCCCTTCCCTTGTTAGTGTCAAGTTCCAGTCAGCTCACCCCAAATGAGAGGCCAGCGAGTCACAAGGCCCCCACGGGTCACACTCAGCTTCGATGAGCTCTCACCGGCCCCGTCAGCGTCCCAATTTTAAACAGGGTGTGGCTGGGTCCTGCTTCAGCTCCAGCTGTGACCCACCTGCTCCTCTGGGAATCTCGGAGTTTCTGCAAAAGGGCCTGGGCTGGGGCTCTGTGGTGACCTCTTCTCCCAACGGCTGTGCCGTGTTCCCTTCTCTGTGAGCCCCTCACACTTGGTGTTTCCTGTTTCTTTGATGGAAGCCACCCTGATGGGTGTGAGGAGGGACCGCTCTTCGGCTTTGACACGCGTTCTCCTGATGACGCAGCATGTCTGATTGGCCATTCATGTGTCTTCTTTGGAGAAATGTCTATTTCAGGTCTTTTGCCCATTTTTTAATCAGGTTGTTTTGGGCTTTATTGTTGCATGAGTTTTCTATATATCCCTTATTAGATATATGATTTGCAGATGTTTTCTCCCATCTAGTGGGTTGCTAATCGTGCCTTTTGATGCACAAAAAGTTTTTCATTTCGATGGACTGCAGTTTGTTTTGTTTGTTACCTGTGCCTTGGTGTCACCTGCAGGAAATCACTGCCAAGTCCAACGTTGTGAAGCCTTTATCCTGTGTTTTCTTCTGAGTGTTTAATTTTGAGCCGTTACCTTTAGGTCTTTGATCCATTGGAACTAATTTTTGGCTGTGGTGTTAGGTAAGGGTCCCACTTCATTGTCTTGCCTGTGAACCTCCTGTTTTCCCAGCACCGTTTGTTGAAAGCCATTTGACCACACGAACAAAGGGTTATTTCTGGACTCTCTGTTCTGGCCCATGGGCTTCTCTGCCTGTCTGAACATAGTAAATTTAGTTATTTTATTGTCAGATAACTCTAGTATCTGGTGTTTCTCATGTTTCCACTTATTCCTGTTGGTGGCATCCTGCTTCCTTGTGCGCCCGTTATCTCCGACTGTGTCCTGGGTTTTGCATTTGAAGCATCATTCATGGGAGTGACTTGAGCCTCAGGTGAGACCATCTTCCTCCAGAAAGGGTGTTTCTCTGCTTCCGCCTGGCAGGAAACACCTTAATCCAAGTCACAGGCCTGACGGGAGGTGATAAGTCTGCACAAGACTCTTCCTTCAGGTTCACCTGAACTGTATGGGCAGCTGGGAGGGGTCCCAGCTTAGTGTGAGGTTCCCTAGGTCCCTGCCTTGAGCCAGCTCTGAGCTCTGACATCTATCCCTCTCCCTCCATGAGGCCACTCAAATCGCAGGTCTGCTTTGCAGCTGTGGCTTCTATGTCTGCGGACGTAGTCTCTCAGGGAAAGGGCTCTAAGTGCCAGGGCCCTCCAGGCTCCTTGTCCTGCCCGTGGAATCAAGAACCTCACTCGCAAGTACAAATTAAAAATAATAAAATAGTAAAAAATAAAAATTAAAAAAAAAAAAGAACCTCACTCGCTTGTTGGCTCATCGGTGCCTTTGAGAAGTATGTTTATCGGCCCTTTTTGCTGGTCTGGGTAACAGAGCCTCCCTCGCCTCAGGGGGAGTCCTAAAGGTGTTTTCTAAAAGCACAGTTCTGACCACAATCTTCCCAGGAGTGAGTCAGGACAGCCTCGAGCCCAGCTCTGTGATCGCTAACTCATTCGACCCTGCCCAGGACCCTGCGAGGCCAGCAGCAGTGTTAGCCCCGCCTCAGAGGTAAACATCCAGAGCGCAGAGCGCGCAGGCTGCACCTTGTGGTTGCATAGCCAGCGAGTGGCAGGATCAGGGCTGTCCAGCTGCAAAGATGCTGCTCCCCTTCCTCTGCTCAGGAGCTTCTAGGGCTCCCACTTCCCTGAGTCCTGAGCACAGAAGCCACCTGGTCATTGAGGCCCTTGCAGCCTCCCCTGGCAATGCTGGCCCCTGCGCACCCCGCCTCTGCTCTATGGGCACTCCTGCCCTCACCTGATCCTTCCAGACCAGAGGCTGGGACCCTGTCCTACCCTCCGAAGGCCCCTGGCTGGTATGGGATCCAGAAGCTCAGGCTGCTGAGCAGACCTGAGGGCCCCACATGTCAAAGACCAGGGCCCACACTGGGGCTCCCTGACCCCAGAGCGGCAGCCCAGGGCTGGTTACCCTGCAGGGCATCTGGGACACAACCTGTCCAGGAGGCAACGGATCAGGCTGAGGGGTCCCCCGTCTGGGACCAGGAACTGCCAGGCCATCCCGGGATGCTCTTCCCAAGCCCGGCTCACCCTCGCAGGGTGCCTGGTGGGGGAGGCTGGGAGGCTGTGCCCACCCACAGCCCCCATCAGTCCCTCTCTGGCTTTCTGCCCTGACAGGTGAACAACAATGGGATCATCTCCTTCCTGAAGGAGGTTTCTCAGTTCACCCCGGTGGCCTTTCCCATCGCCAAGGACCGCTGTGTGGTGGCGGCCTTCTGGGCGGATGTGGACAACCGGCGTGCAGGGGATGTGTACTACCGGGAGGCCGCCGACCCCGCCATGCTGCGCAGAGCCACGGAGGACATCAGGCGCTACTTCCCCGAGCTCCCAGACTTCTCTGCCACCTGGGTTTTCATCGCCACCTGGTACCGCGTGACCTTCTTTGGCGGCAGCTCCTCCTCCCCCGTGAGTTTCTGTCCTGGGGAAGGGAGGAGGTACAGCTGGGCCCAGGCCTCCCTCCAGGGCACCCACCTTGCCGAGGGTCAGCTTTAGTTGCCGGCCCATGCCTGAGAGGAAAAGCTGGGCTCAGGCACGGGAGTCACTCACGAAGGTCCGAGCCTGACAAGGCCCGGGAGAGTAGCTCACACGCCGGGGAGAGGAGAAGGATGATGTGTTCCCGGGTTTTCCGTTGGGAATGCTTCTGTCCTCAAAGGGTCAGTCAGGAAGTTATCGCGTCTTATACTTCATCCTCGACTGTGCCAAACAACAAAGTGTGAGCTCAGGAGTAACTGAGCACTCTGCCCAGCATGGTAGTGCTGGTGGGCGAGTCCCCCTGAGTGGGTCCCCCCCAAAATGAGGACAGTGCTCCCTCCTGGGGGTCACACCATGCACGAGGAGGCGCTGGGAGCAGAGAGGTTCTCTGAGCTATTTGTTCACGCATTTAACCCACATTTCTGTAGGGGCACCTCTCGGGGGGCAGGCCCTGGACAGAGCAGACAGGACACGGCTCTCTCTGGGGTGTCACAAACGACCATGTGATAAAGGTGCCAGTTGCCCTGAAGTGGCCAGCATGGCTGTGCCAGCCGGAGGGTGGGTCTGAGCCACGTGGGGGGGGGGGTGAGGGTAGAGGACCAGGATGGCTCAGAGCAGCCACGGGGGGGATGTGACAGGACACTGGGCAGCAAGGGGAGCGACAGCAATCACAGCAGAGCCTGGTTCCTGTCGCACACACTGGGGAGGGGGGGCGGACAGGGGGGCCTGCACTCAGGCTCTAGGGGTGCAAGTGAGGGACTCGGCCCCGGATGTGCCAAGATGGCCATGCCCAGCGGGCATCTAGAGATGGAGCCCAGGGTCCCTGGAGGTGGCTCAGGGGAACTGGGAAGGTGGGCAAGTGGGTCCAGGGAGGGATGTGCCAAGTGACGAGATGCCCACAGACTCTGAGCGCCCCAGCAGCCAAAATGAACAAGTGAGAGAGAGGAAGAAGGACGTTAGCAGGTGCCTACGAGAGGGAGACACACTGTGTGGGCCTTTCTGTGAACATTACCGCAAATCGCGCACTGTGGGCTTCTGTTCATACAGAGCTCACTGGCATTTTGTAAGTTCTGTTTGTTTGTTTTTTCTTTCCACCAATTTGTAACAAAACAACTTTGTAACAAAAGGTAAAGAAAACCCAACTATAATTCCTCCACCAGAAGACAACTCCCCGTCAACATTTCCTAGTGTCCACTGACCCACAGTCTAAAAAATAAATAGAGCCGCCAAGAACATGCTGTTTGTGAGTGGTTGTTGTTTGTTTTTCACTCAACAGTATTGTGGGCATTGTCCTCATTTTATATGTTCTCTTACCTCATTTTAAAAATTACTCTCACCTCTGCGGAGGAAGAGGCACCCAGAACGCCTCCGGAGTTGACAGAGAACCTTAACGTCCCCGTTTCCAAACCCAAAGATGTGGGTTAGAAAAGGGATATCCACATCACATCCTCAGAAGACAGGGAGTCGAGATCCTGAGTTCGGGCTGGGAGGTGGCCTGTGACAGGGAGACTTGGGAGCCCTCTCTGCAGCCGCAGCTCTGGAAGCAGGTGATCCACAGGCGGTGACAGTGCAGCTGCTAAGGCTCCTCAAATCCAGGCCTCACCTGCACACACGCTGCCCGGACCGATCGTGCTGCCACTCCGCCTTCATGGCCATCACCTCCTCCCTGTCCTCAGAACTCTAGCACTTAGGTTCACACCTTCCTATTGTTAACGTTAACCTAAGAAGACACACAGACCACTGCCATAAAGCAAATATCACAATAGAATGAGTCACATGACTTTTTTGTGTCCCATTGCATATAAAGGTTATGTTGACACTATACTGTAGTCCATTAAGTGTACAATAGCATTATTGGACACTTAAAAAAAGTACATATCTTAATTAAAAATACTATATCGCTGAAAAAGGCTAACCATCATCTGAGCCCTCAGTGAGGGGTAATCTCGGTGCTGGTGGAGGGTCCTGCCTCGATGTTATGGCTGCTGACTAATTGGGGTGGTGGTTACAGATGGTTGGGTGGCCAGGGCAGTTTCTTAACATATGACAAGCACTGGTTGACTCTTCCTTTCACAGACTATTTCTCTGTAGTGCTATAAGCATTTTACCCACAGACTTCTTTCAAAACTGGAGTCAGTCCTCTCAACCCCTATCAGCTAAGTTTATGTGATATTTTAAATCCCTTGTTGTCACCTCAACAGTCTTCACAACATCTTCACCAGGAGTGGATTCCAGCTCAAAAAACTACTGTCTTTGCTCATCTGTAAAAATCAACTCTTTATCCTTTCAAATTTGGTCATGAGGTTGCAGTAATTCAGTCACACCTTCAGACTCTACTGTTAATTCTAGATATTTTGCTATTTCCACCACATCTGCAGTTACTCCTCACTGACATCTTGAACCCCCCTGAGGGCTGGAACCACCTTCTTCCAAACTCCTGTTAAGTTGCTATGTTGATCTATTTCCACAAATGTCCTTAATAGCTTCTAGAATGGTGAATCCTTTCCAGAAAGTTTCCAACTTACCTTGCACAGGTCTATCAGAAGAATCATATCTATGTGAGCTATAGCCTTACAAAATAATAAGACTTGAAAGTCGAAATGACTTCTTGGGTGTTGTGTTAGCAGGCATGAAAAGTTAGCAGGCATGAAAACAACATTAATCTCATTGTCCATCTCCATCAGAGCTCTTGGGTGACCAGCTGCATTAGCCCCTAACCTTGAAGCGTTGAAGCCAGGCATTGACTTCTCTCCAGCTATGAAAGTCCTAGGTGGTGTCTTCTAATGTGAGCCTGTCTCATCTATATTACAAATCTGTTGTTCAGTGTAGCCACCTTCGTTAATTATCTCAGCTAGATCTTCTGAATAACTTGCCACATCTTCTACATCAGCTCTTGCTGCTTCACCTTGTACTTTGATGTTATAGAGATGGCTTCTTCCCTTTAACCTCATGAATCAACCTCAGACAGCTTCAGACTTTCCTTCTGCAGTCCCCTCAATTCCCCCAAGTCTTCATAGAATTGAAAAGAGTTAGGGCCTTGATCTGGGATAGGCTTTGGCTTAAGGCAGTGGTTCTCAACCTTCCTAATGCCGCGACCCTTTAATACAGTTCCTCAAGTTGTGGTGACCCCCAATTTCATTGTTGCAAATTGAACATAATTAAAGCATAGTTATTAATCACAAAAACAATATGTAATTATATATGTGTTTTTCGATGGTCTTAGGCGACCCCTGTGAAAGGGTCTTTCGACCCCCAAAGGGGTCGCGACCCACAGGTTGAGAACCGCTGGCTTAAGGGCGTGTTGTGGCTGGTTTGATCTTCTATCCAGACCGCTAAAACCTTTTGCACATAAACAATAAGGCTGTTTAGCTTATCACTGTGTATTTACTGGAATAGCCCTTTTAAGTTCCTTCAAGAATGTTTCCTTTGCATCACAACTTAGCTGTTTGGTGCAAAAGGTCTGGTTTTAAGCCAGTCTCAGCTTTTGACATGCCTTCCTCATTAAGCTTAATCATTTCTAGCTTTTGATTTAAAGTGAGAGTCACGTGACTGGTCTTTTCACTTGAACACCTAGAGGCCATTGTGGGATTATTTATTGGCCCAATTTCACTATTGTTGTGTTTCAGAGAACAGGGAGGCCTGAAGAGAGGGACATAGACGGGAGACGAGCGAAGCAGTCAGAACACACACATTTATCAATTAGGTTCACTGTCTTAATGGGGTGGTTCATGGTACCCCAAACAATTGTAACATCGATCACTGCTCACAGATCACCATAACAGATATCATAATGATGAAAAATCTGAAATATTGTGACAATTACCAAAATGTGACAGAGAGACACAAAGTAAGCAAATGCTATTGGAAAATGGCACCAATAGACGTGCTCAATGCAGGGTCATCGCAACCCTTCAATTTCTAAAAACACAATTTCTAAAAGCGCCATCAATGAAACGCAATGAAACAAAGTGTGCCTATACACCGTATGGTCTCTGGTCATTGCCACGTCCACACACTGGCCCAGAGTCGCTGGCCCAAGGCCTCGAGTGCAGGGTACCCTGAGGTGGGCATGCGCAGCCTCAAGTCCACTGAGGTTTATCCTGGCATGAGCCTCTAAAAGGGAGATTACTGCCTGCAGAATTTCATGTTCCCCTCAAAAATGTGCCCATGCATTCTCACATGCCACATGGGATGTGCCCGGTTCCCTGCACTCCAGCCAGGAGCCCTCCCGCTTTCCTTCCTTGCCTTTTCAAACTTCCACATCTTTGATTCCTAGCGATGCTGGATTTGCTCCTGTGTTACCTGCTAGTTGTATTCTACTTGTCATGTATCTGAGCATAGCCTGTGTTATCTTTTTGGTCTTTTTCTCATTGATCTGTAGACGTTTTTGTATTAAGAATATGAATAGTCTTGCCTGCTGCATATATTATAAAAACATTTTTCACTTTGCTGTTTGCCACTCAGTTTGCGTTTATGGCACTTTGTGATATTCAGAAGTTTTTGTAGCCAAATGTATAAATCTCTTTTTTTGTTGTTTTTGCGTTAACATAAGTCATGCCTAAGCCTCCCTGAGAGGCTCTCCACGGTGCCCACTATTTCTTCCAGTGCTGCGACGGTGTCATTTACAGCCTTACTTGATTTAGGCTTTATTTTCATGAGTGATGTAAAATTCTAATTTCATTGTTTTTCGGAGTTTCCTATTCATCCCATGATCCTTTGCCCGATCTGAAATAGCACCTCATATGTACCCTACCCACTAACATTTTGGAATAGAATTCCATGAAAATCATAAAACCTGATTATTAAAAACATTTTTCCTTGATTCCTCTGTTCATCTTTCCCTTTTCTTTTTATGTTTTTGTCCTGTTCCCTCAAGGCAGTTTGTGGATTTGACCAAGTGAGCAGGAACTCTCTGTGCCCCCGGCCCCCACAGGGGACAGTGTCTGCTCCTGGCGTCGGTGGCCCCCACAGCCCCCGTGCAGATTCTTGGGGAGGGGGCAGGTTGGCCTGTGCCAGGGCCTCAGGCACTGGAGACACAGTGGAGGATGGAGGACGAGGCCATCAAGGTTCTGCCCTATGGCTGACCAAATGTCTAGTTGGGGAGACAATGACAGTGTGTGCAGGAATAGTGGAGGGGCAGGGCCTGGGAACGGAGACGAGGCGGGAAGGACCCTGTTCAGGCCTCCCTCCTTGGCAGGTCAACACGTTCCAGACTGTGCTCATTACGGACGGCAAGTTCTCTTTCACCATCTTCAACTATGAGTCCATCACGTGGACCACAGGCACACACGCCAGCAGCGGGGGTGACGCCACTGGCCTGGGGGGCATCGCGGCCCAGGTAGGGGTCCCTGCTCCCCATTGCCGGCACTGTCATGAGCTGGTGAAACAGGCAGACCTCTCCCCGCCCCCACCCCCACCCCCACCTCCACATGCACTACTGTGCAGAGGCTGGTGCAGGGTGATCCAAGCCCTCTCACAGCCCAGAACCACAGAAACATCCTTGGCCAAAGGCCTTTGTCCTGACCACACTGCCTGGCCACTGCAGCAGGGAAAGAAGGTCCTGGGATTCTCTGCACTGACTGTCCCCAGATCTGGCAGGGCTGTGGCCCGAAGGACCCCGGCCAGCAGGAAATCCCAGGTGTGGAGGGCATGGTCAAGGGCCAGTGCCCAGGGCCTGCCGGTCCCCTTCTGGCTGTGCACCCCCATCTACTTCCCCTGAGGTCCCACTTGCCGCTGGCCCCTAGGGAGACCCAAAACCCAGCAGTGAGTCATGGGGGTGGGGGAGGCGTGGGGGTGCCAGGCCCAACCAAGTCTTTGGCTCAGGGCCTGGCTGGGAGGCTGCTGACATTGGCAAGGACAGCGTGGTGGGGGAAGGGGTGGATACCCCTACACCTTAGAGCTCTCCAGCTGTCTCCCACACAAGCTCTTTGACCTTGACAGTGTGTGCAGGAATGGTGGATGGGGCAGGGCCCCATCTGGGGGAGGTGGGAGCTTTAGGGAGACCTGCGGACCCAGCCCGCACCTGCCCCCACTCTCTCGCACCCACCCAGGCTGGCTTCAACG